ATTACTCCTAATATCAGAGTCAGTGTACAACATGTGATATTATTCGTAATACCCTAGGGAGCTATTACTCCTAATTTCACTGTGGGTGTGCACTCTGTGATATTATTCGTAATAACCTAGAAAGCTATTACCCCTAATATCACTGTGAGTGTACACTCTATGATGTTATTCATAATATCTTAGGGAGTTATTACTGTTAATATCACAGTGGGTGTACACCCTCTGATGTTATTTCTAATATCCTGGGGCGCGATTACTCCTAATATCACAGTGAATGTACACCCTGTGATGTTATTCATAATATCTTAGGGAGTTATTACTGTTAATATCACAGTGGGTGTACACCCTGTGATGTTATTTCTAATATCCTAGAGAGCGATTACTCCTAATATTACCATGCGTGTACACCCTGTGATGTTATACATAATATCCTCAGGAGTTATTGCTCCAAATGTCACAGTGGATGTACACCCTGTGATGATATTCTTAATATCCTAGGAAGCTATTTCTCCTAATATCAGAGTGGGTGTACATGCTGTGATATTATTTGCAATATCATAGAAAGATACTACTCCTAATATCACTGTGAGTGTACACACTGTGATTTTATTTATAATATCTTAAGGAGATAATTACTCCCAGTATCACAGTGGGTGTACACTCTATGATGTTATTCATGATATCTTAAAGAGATATTACTCATAGTATCACCTTGGGTGTAAACCCTGTGATATTATTCATAATATCCTGGGGAGATATTACTCCTACTATCACATACGGTGTACACTCTGTGATATTATTAAAAATATCTTAGAGAGATATAATTTTAATTTCAAAGTGGGTGTACACCCTGTGATTTTATTCGTAATATCTTAGGGAAGTATTACTCCTAATATTACAGTGTGTGGACACCTTGTTATATTATTTGTAGTATACTAGGGAGATATTACTGCTAATATCACAGTGAAAGTACACCCTGTGATATTATTAGTAATATCCTACAAAAAATTATTTTTAATATGACAGTGGGTGTGCACCCTTCGATATTATTTGTAATATTCTATGGAGATATAACTACTAATATGACAGTGGGTGTACACACTGTGATATTATATGTACTTTCCTAGGGAGATATTACTCATAATATCTTAGTGGGTGTACATCCTCTGTTATTATTCGTAATATTCTCGGTAGGTAATACTCCTATTATTCACAGTGGGTGTACACCCGCTAATGTTATTCATAGTATCCCAGGGAGCTATTTCTCCTAATATCCCCATGGGTGTACACCCTGAGAAGTTACTCGTAACGTCCTAGGAAGTTATTACTCCTAATATCACAGTGGGTGTACACACTGTGATGTTATTCATAATATACTGGAAAGCTATCATTCTTAATATCACCATGTGTGTGCAACCTGTGATATTATTCATAATGTCCTAGAAAGCTGTTACTCATAATATCACCATGGGTATACACACTGTGATGTTATTTATGATATCCTAGGGAGATATTACTGCTAATATCACCATGGGGTACAGCCTGTGATATTCTTAATATTTTAAATAGTATTACTCCTAATATCACCGTGAGTATAACATTTGTGATATTATTGGTTATATCCAAGGAAGATATTACTCCTAATATCACAGTGGGTGTACTCTCTGTGATATTTTTCATAATATTCCAGAGAGATATTACTTTTAATTTCACAACGAGTGCACACCCTATGATATTATTCATAATATCTTAGGAAGATATTACACCTAATATTACAGTGGGGGTACGCGGTGGGTGTAGTATTCTAGGAAGATATTACTCCTAATATCACGGTGAATTTACATCCTGTGATATTATTCGTAATATCCTAGAAAGATATTACTTTTAATATCACAGAGGGTCTACACCCTGTAATTATTCATAATATCCTAGGAAGATATTACTCATGTCACAGTGGGTGTACACCCTGTGAAGTTATTCGTAATTTTCTAGTGAGATATAACTTTAAATGTCACAGTGAGTGTAAAGCCTTATTAGTAATATCCTAGGGAGATATTACTCCTAATATAACAGTGGGTGTACACCCTGTGATATTATTCATAGTATCCTAGACAGATGTTACTCCCAATATCACAGTGAGTGTGCACAGTGTGATATTATTTGTAATATTTTAGGGAGATGTTAATATACAGTGGGTGTACACTCTGTGATTCATTCGAAATATCCTAAGGAGGTATTACTTCTAACATCACAGTGGGTGTACAACATGTGTGGACAATCTTTGACATTATTCACAATATCCTACAGAGATATTACTACTATATCACTGTGAGTGTACACCCTGTGATATTATTCATAACATCCTAGGGAGACGTTACTCTTAATATTACTGTGAGTGTACACCCTGTGATATTATTCATAATATCCTAGCAAGATATGACTTCTAGTATCACAGTGGATGTACACCCTATGATATTATTTGCAATATCCTGAGGAGATATCACTCCTAATATCACAGGTATTATGAATAACATCAAGATATTATTCATCATATCTTTGGGAGATACCACTCCTTATATCACAGTGTGTGTACGCCCTGTGTTGTTACTCATTGTAATCTAGGGAGATATCACTCCTAAAATCAAAGGTAGTGTACACCTCTGTGAATAATATTCACTCTGTGAATATTATTTGGTATATTCTGGGGAGGTATCACTCCTAATATCACAGGGGGCGTACACCCCTTTTGATATTACTCATCATATTTTAGGGAGATGTCACTCCCAATATCACAAGGAGCGTCATATCCTAGGGAGATATAACTTTTAATTTCACAGGGGTTGTAAACCCCTTGTGATATTATTTGTCATATCCTAGGGAGATATTATTCCTAAAATCACAGTCGGTGTACATGCTGTGAGATTATTTGTGGTATCCTAGAAAGACATTACTCCTAATATCACGAGGGCGTACACTCCTTGTGATATCATTTGTCATATCCTAGGGAGATATTATTCCTAAAATCACAGTAGGTGTACATGCTGTGAGATTATTCGTGGTATCCTAGAAAGACATTACTCCTAATATCACGGGGGTATACACTCTTTGTGATATTATTTGTCATATTCTAGGAAGATATCACTCCTTATATCACACCCCCTGCGTTGTTATTCATCATATTCTAGGGAGATATCACTCCTACCCTGTAATAGTATTCGTAATATGTTAGGGAGCTATTACTCCTAATATCACAGTGGGTGTGGCCCCTGTGTGTACACCCTGTTATACTATTTGTAATATCCTAGGAAAATATTACTCCTAATATCACAGTGAGTGTACACCATGTGTGTACACCCTGTGACAGTATTCATAATATCTTAGGGAGATACTTCTCCTAATATTACAGTGGGTGTACACCATGTGATATTATTTGTAATATCCTAGGGAGATATTACTTCAAATATCACAGTGGATGTAGACCTTACGATATCACTCATAACATCCTAGGCAGATATTACTCCAAATATTACAGTGTGTGTATACCATGCGTGTACATTCTGTGAAATTTTCATAATATTTTATAGAGTTAATACTCCTAATAACACAGTGGATATACACCGTTTGGTATTGTTTATAATATTTTAGGTTGATATTACTCCTGATATCAAAATGCAGCATGAGAAACTGAAATCAGATGCATTCATGATTATGACCCTGAGGTCAATATGTCATTCCCTCGTTGCCCCCATGAAGGTTTGACTACTATACACTTTGAACCTGTGTTTCTTAGTTGTTTGTTGCTTAAGTTTTAGCCACAATGGCAAATTGCAGTGGGAAATCCAGTCTTACTTTGTCATTTAGAAACAAAATACAAAAACAAAACCTATCTAAATAAAGCACTAGGTTTTTTTTTTTTTTTTTGAGACAAAATGGAAGAATTTCTAATATTAGGTTAGAAAAACAAATTTTTTGGTGTGTGTGTTTTTTTTTTGAGACGGAGTCTTGCTCTGTCACCCAGGCTGGAGTGCAGTGGAGCGGTCTAGGCTCACTGCAAGCTCCACCTCCCGGGTTCAGGCCATTCTCCTGCCTCAGCCTCCCAAGTAGCTGGGACTACAGGCACCCGCCACCACGCCTGGCTAATTTTTTGTATTTTTAGTAGAGATGTGGTTTCACTGTGTTAGCCAGGATGGTCTCGATCTCTTGACCTCGTGATCTGCTCACCTTGGCATCCCAAAGTGCTGGGATTACAGGCGGGTGCCACCGCGCCCAGCCTCTTTGGTGTGATGTGATGACTGGTAGTTAAATTCAGTGTACATATGAATTCACTCTTGGGACAAAATATGCTGGATTTGAACTTATTTTCAGGCAAATAATGTTTCATTTTACAGAGCTAATTCAAAGTAAACTGACTGCACGCACTTCTCGCTTAGGGGAAGAAAACTCATCAAAATTTGTTTCTAGGCATATGCTATTAGAGCTAGGATTAAGATAAATCTTACATACCTTCCTTAATATGCTAACATTAATACGTTTCGCTTAAAAAAATCGATCACTTATCATGGAAAAATACACCAGCTTACACAAATTCCTAAAGCGTTTTTCGTGTGTGTGTGTGTGTGTGTGTTTGCAGAGACGGCATTTCGCCATATTGCCCAGGCTGGTCTCGACCTCCTGGGCTCAAGAGATCCACCCACCTCAGCCTCCCAAAATGTTGGGATTACAGGCGTGAGTCCTAAAGGTTTTGGTGAGATTATATATTTTACCTGCGAAATATGTGGGTCAGAAAGATTTGAGAAAGTTGTTAGATAATTCGACCAACAAAATCTCCCGTCCTTTCCAGCTGTGATGGTGAATTCTAAAGTAGAATTCATCTTTGGAGCTTCTCCCTGTAGGCCTGCACCTTGCGTTGCACCTGCCAGACGGTGCGCCGAGTCCTCCAGGCCTCTAGAAGGCAGAGATGGTCTAGTTTTCTTGCTGAGCATGCGCTGTAGTTCTCTCTTCTGGAGCTGTGCACGTGGGGTCGAAGCGCGCGTGCGCGGCGGCGGCGGCGGGGCGGGGCCTGAGCTGTCAGCCGGCCTAGGAGGAGGAAGGAGTCTGCGGCGTTGGGTGTGAGGGGCGGGACCGGGCTGCCTGCGGAGGGTCTAGCTGGGGGAGGTCGGGCCATGCTGGCGGGCCAGGGCGCTGGACCGCCGGGGCCCGCGGTGGTCGCCGCCGCGGTGGTGTTGCTGCTGAGCGGCGTGGGGCCGGCGCATGGCTCGGAGGACATCGTGGTGGGCTGCGGGGGCTTCGTCAAATCGGACGTGGAGATCAACTACTCACTCATCGAGGTGAGCGCCCACCCCGCGGCCCGGCGCCGACTCGCCGGCCGGTGGTTCAGCCCCCTGGGCCGCGCTGGCGTCGTCTCTGACACCGGGCGGCGTGGAGTCCTTGGAGCCCGTACCTCTTCCAAGGCTATGCTGTCCGCGGGCTCCCGGCAGCTCCTCCCCAGTCGCGCTGGAGGGGAGGTTTTTATCATGGGGTTATGTAAGGACTGAGGGGTGCCAGACCTCAGGTTCTTCAAAAGCCAGACTCCAGATTCCCGGAACCCAGACCCCAAATTCCTTGGAGCCCAGACCCCATTTCTTTAAAACTTAGACCCGAGATCTTCTCGAATCAGACCACCTGAAACTCAGATTTCCCCAAACCCATATTCTAGAACCTAGAGACTACATGTCTTATCCCCCAAACTCCACAGCCCAGACCCCTCCCGAAGTTCTGATCCACTGCTACTCCAAACCCTGCGGCATGATTGTAAAGAGCATCGATTCCCATCCCGTAGATTCTGACCTAGTAGATCAGCATTGGAAACCCTGGGGCCGGAAAGCTATTTTTTATTTCTCCCGCTCCCTTCTGCCTCTGAAAATGGAGAGTTGTCAGCTGCCCTGATTGCCTTAATGAGTAGTTATTGGAATTACCCTAGAGATTTGTGCTGAAGTTTTTTTTTTTTTCCAATTAAGTTGTAGTCCTGTTAAATGTTTATCAGCCCGGTGGGATTATGACCCTGAAAGGTTCCCGTAAAGAGGAAAGGGCTGGATGAAGGTAGGGGCAGAAGGTCATTTGTCCGGATAGTCGGGAGGGTACCAGAGCAAGGCCTGGGCCTCATTTTTGGAAGGAGATTTATGTTGGGGTAGGACAAGGAAGCGAAAAAGAGCAGGCGCCTCGGAGGTAATTTAGGAGAAAACGAAGGAAGAGGCTGGGAAATGCCAAAGAGAGGGACTGGGAAATAAGACCCCAAAGATCCCTGAAAGCACCTTTGAGCTGTTCCAGGGCTGGCAATGAACGGTGAAGCACTGTGTTCTGCAAAGCGGGTTGCTGAGGATTGGGGGAGGGCCAGGGAGTCAGTTCCACACCCCACTAGCTCTGCGACCTGCCCTTGCTCTAGGTCTCAGTTTTTGTACCTATAAGATGGTGCTGGGAGAGAAACAGTGGAACCCAGCAGATGCATTTCGTTAACAAGCGGATCCGTGATCTTCAAGGCCCCTTGCTTGCTGCTTTTTTACTCTGAAGAGGTCAGAGGTCAGGCATTGAATGAATCTACCCACTGGCAGTGGCAGGGCTCCTAGGATTTCCTGGGTACATGTTTCCGGGTGCCCATGCCACCTTCTGGGTCTGCCTTGGGGACATGGCGCGTTGAGGGTGGTATGACCGTAGATGGCACAGGGCATTTCAGAAGCTGCCCGGTAAGGCCTCTTGCAACTTGTAGTTTCCAGGGGTTCTGGAAGGAAGGAAAAGACAGACACCCCCCCTCCACCCCCACCCTCATACTAATAGTGACCTTGAGATCAGAGAGCAAGTTTTGTAACGCATTATGAAGTGTGTTCCTTAAGCCCAAGGGCTGCCTGTCCAGATGGTCTGGGACACTCATTCTTTCGTAATTCTGATTCTGAAATCAGGCATTTCCTACTGGCCATCTTGATGTAGATTACATTGGCGTCCTGTGTCCTGATGGTACTTTATGAAAGACGTAGAGATAATCAAGATGTTTCACAGTCATTTCTTGATTGTGTTTTTTGTGTTCCTAAGCAACTGTCTTCATTCTTCTCCAGCTTTCTCTCCTCCTGGGTGCTTTTATATCGTGTTCATTGAGTCAACAACTATTTATTGAGTCCCTGCGCATACTGAAACCTTGTCCCTGGTGTGGATATAGCAGTACAGTGAACAGAACAGACAAAATGCCCTACTCTCATGAGACTGACATTTTGTTCTCTAACAGGCAGCTTACAGTTAAAAAAAAAAATTATACCGGTTGCTAATGCTTTAACAATCAGGTGGTTTCACATTAAAAACTGGGTTCTTTATTTCTCTGGAAAACCATCTGATTTTTTGGGTTACCACACCTGGCTTGGGTTGTGTAGTGATCTGAATCCCTTTGGATGAATGCCTCTTGATGCTGACTCCCTAACCCCTCTAGGCTGGTGAATTTCCAGTCCCTGCCTTAAATGCATGCATCTGAATCTCTTTGTCACCTGTAACAAATTCACTGAGTACCTAGAGTAAGCAAGACACTGTCTCAGGCGCTGTGGAATGTAAATTGTGGTCACTGCCCTCAGAGAACTTTACATACAGGCTCCACATTACTTCACACCAATCCTTTCCCAAATGTTGGTGTTATGAGTTAGTCACTTTGTACATCTTCTTAGCTGGTAAGATTCGACTGTTTCATTGCAGCTTGTGTCATGGTCTGTTTCATGGTCACAGAACATTAGCGTTTTGGAGGTGAGGCTTTTAGATGCATCAGATCCAACTGTTTCGTTTTACAGACTTGGAAACTGAGCCTCAGAGTGGTTGAGCCATGCAGGTACATTTGGGAAATTTTCCTTGAGCCCAGTGTGTTCCCTGACTGTTACACTCTGTTGCCTTTTTCTTCAGAGAGAGAGATATTAAATAGTAATACAAGCTGCTTTTTCTATTTATTTTATTTTGAGACGGGGTCTCACGCTGTTGCTCAGGCTGCAGTACAGTGGCACCATCATAGCTCACCAAAGCCTCCGACTCCTGGCCTCAAGCAGTCCTCCTGCCTCAGCCTCCTGAGTGGCTGGGACTATAAGCACCTGCCATCATGACTAGCTAATTTTTTTTTTTTTTTTTTTAGTAGAAATGAGGTCTGGCTATGTTGTCCAGGCTGGTCTTGAACTCCTGGGCTCAAGTGATCCTCCTGCCTCAGCCTCTTGAGTGGCTGGGACTATAAGCACCTGCCATCATGCCTAGCTAATTTTTTTTTTTTTTAGTAGAGATGAGGTCTGGCTATGTTGTCCAGGCTGGTCTTGAACTCCTGGGCTCAAGTGATCCTCCTTCTTTGGCCTCCCAAAGTGCTGGGATTACAGGCATGAGCCACCATGCCTGGCCACAAACTGATTTTTCTTTGAATCCATATTCTGTAGCAGGTGCTTAGTATGCGTTGATGTGAATCTGTACAACCACATATAAGGGAGTGGCTCTCTGTCGACACCTGAAGAAACCGAACGTGAGCTTGCCCAAGGCCACACGACACGTGGAAGACCCAGACAGTATTTGGGCATCTTACTGGGTTAACACTTCGTGTCTGGTAATGCTCAGGATGTAAGAGTTTTAGAGAGTCCTTGGGGAGAGGGCAGATATTAAGTGTCATTTTAGTCTCTTTTTCTTCTGAGAATGAAAGTAATGAGAAAATTAAGTTTCTAGATGAACGTTGCTCCAAGTATTTGAAATTACTTAGAGCTAGTAAGGAAGATCTCTGGCCCTCATTCCAGACCTTTAGTTGAGAAACAGTGGTGGGCCTTAGTAATTTGTATTTTATTTTACTTTACTTTACTTTTATTTTATTATTATTATTTTTGAGACAGAGTCTTGCTCTGTCTCCCAGGCTGGAGTGCTGTGGCATGATCTTGGCTCACTGCAACCTCCGCCTCCTGGGTTCAAACAATTTTCCTGCCTCAGCCTCCCAAGTAGCTGGGACTACCGGTGCCTGCCACCATGCCTGGCTAACTTTTTTTGTATTTTTAGTAGAGACAGGGTTTCATCTTATTGGCCAGGCTGGTCTCAAATTCCTGACCTCAAGTGATCCGCCCACCTCAGCCTCCTGAAGTGCTGGGATTACAGGCAGGAGCCACCGCACCCAGCCAGGAATTTGCATGTTAATAAGCACCTTACTAATGGCAAAGTTTGCAAATTTGTTTTAGACCCAGAAACTTACAGGAGCAACCTAGAGACAGCCACTAAAATAAACAGAAAAGCATTGAAAAATAAGGCATTGTAATAGGCTGTAGGTGATTTCTAATCCGAAAAACATTGAGTCACGTGATTTGGGAGAGACTTTGTTGATTTCCCTCTGTCCCCAATAATGCTCCGTGTTAAAAGCTGGCATACAGTAGGTCCTCAGTGAATGCATACTGACTGAGTGTATTCAGGTGTAACACATGTAGTTCATTCCCAAAGGCAATGTTATGTTTTCTGTTTTCCTTCCTTCCTTTCCAGATAAAGCTGTACACCAAGCATGGGACTTTGAAATACCAGACAGACTGTGCCCCTAATAATGGCTATTTTATGATCCCTTTGTATGATAAGGTAAGAGGCGACTGCTTGTCACTTATGATGGGAAGTCACTAGTGTGCCTCACCAGGCTGCATTCACCGTGCCCTTTCCTACACTAGCAAATGCTCATCTGTTTGGTAAATTGTTAGTGGAATATGGTAATCCTAGGCACATTCGGAGGGAGACAACTTACAAACTGCCTTGGCGAATACAGTGGCTCTCTGTGTCTTTAGGGCCATTTGGCAATGTCTAGAGACGTTTTTGTTGTGACATCTGGCTGTGCACTACAGTTACCCAGTGAGTAGTGGCCAGGTGTGGAGCTAAAAGTGCTACAGTGCTGCCCACAACAGCCCAGATGTCAGTAGTGCCAGCGCTGAGAAACTGATTTCATAGAACCTGTTACTTGCAAGCAGCTTAAAGTATTGTTAAAACAATTGTACAAGTAGTATATGAATTCATGAACTTTGTGAAAAAAAGTCAAGGTCTTTAGAAGTATGTGAAATAAATTTGTACCCTTTTCCCTCCAATTTTACCTCCCTCTGTAGTGGTAACCTCTGATAAAGTTTTTTTTCCTTCTTCTTTTGAGGTGGAGTCTCACTCTGTCGCCCAGGCTGGAGTGCAGTGGTGTGATCTTGGCTCACTCCAACCTCCACCTCCCAGGTTTAACCATTTGCCTTCCTTAGCCTCCCAAGTATCTGGGATTACAGGCACATACCACCACACCTGGCTAATTTTTTGTATTTTTAGTAGCGACGGGGTTTGACCATGTTGGCCAGGCTGGTCTCGAACTCTTGACCTCAAGTGAACCACCTGCCTCAACCTCCCAATGTGCTGGGATTACAGGTGTGAGCCACTGTTCCCGGCCCTCTTATAACATTTTGATGTGCATCCTAACAGATTGCTTTCTACTTATAGTTATTCAGATAGCCACGGACACATATGCATATGCATATATGCAAATACAGACAAGCACACATGCACATAGATTTGTATCCACAAACACCTCTATCTATACAATCCCATCCTCCCACATATAAACCTTTTATTTGGAAATACAGATTCATAGGAAGTTGCAAAAATAGTCAATATACATAGTTTTGATTTTGATATAGTTTTTAATACAAATGGAATCAAACAATAGGATTTATTCTGCAGTTTCATTTTTTCCCCCGTGTTAATGCTTTCAACACCAGAGGGACATTTGGTTTTCCCCCTTGTGTGCTTTCAACATTAGCATAGATAGATCTACTGCCTGTTTTTTTTTTTTTTTGAGATGGAGTCTCACTCTGTCAGCCAGGCTGGAGTGCAGTGGCATGATCTCGGCTCACTGCAACCTCCGCCTCCCGGGTTCCAGTGATTCTTCTGCCTCAGCCTCCTAAGTAGCTGGGATTACAGATACCCACCAGCACGCCCAGCTAATTTTTTTTTGTATTTTTAGTAGAGATGGGGTTTCACCATGTTGGCCAGGCTGGTTTGATCTGCCCACCTCAGCCTCCCAGGGTGCTGGGATTATAGGCATGAGCCACCATGCTTGGCCTACTGCCTTCTTTTTAATTGCTGCGTAGTGTGTCAGAGTCAAACCCAAACTGTAATTTATTTAACTACTTGGGCATATAGACTTTCCTCAATTTTAAAATAATGGTAATTTTAAAATAACACACCAGGAAATATTCTTGAACTTAACTATTCATCTAGAATGCATAGGATTGATTTCTAGAGGTAGACTAGCTGGGTCTGTCCTGAAATCTGTTTAATTAATTTTTACATAGTATCAGTATCAGTCTCAAGAAACCAGGAGGCCGGATGTGGTGGCTCATGCCTGTAATCCTAGCACTTTGGGAGGTTGAGGCAGGTGGATTGCCTGAGCTCAGGAGTGCGAATCCAGCCTGGGCTACATGGTGAAACCCTGTCTCTACTAAAATACAAAAAAATTAGCCGGGTGTCGTGATGCATGCCTGTAGTCCTGGCTACTTGGGAGGCTGAGGCAGGAGAATCGCTTAAACCTAGGAGACGGAGGTTACAGTGAGCCGAGATCGCACCATTTCACTCCAGCCTGGGCAACAGAGCGAGATTCTGTCTCAAAAAAAAAAAAAAAAAAAAAAAGCAGATTGATAAGTAAAATCTAGTTTTATTTTATTTATTGAATTAATGAGTTAATGTATTGTTTAGAGACAGGATCTCCCTCTGTTGCTCATGCTGGAGTGCAGTGGCGTGATTCTGGTTCACTGCAACATTGACCTCTTGGGCTCAAATGATCCTCCTGCCTCTGCCTCCTGAGTAGCTAAGACTTTAGGCGCCTGCCACCTCACCCAGCTAATTTTTTAAGAATGTTTTTGTATAGATGGGGTCTTACTATGTTGCTTAGGCTGGTCTTGAACTCCTGGCCTCAGGTGACCCTCCTGCCTTGGCCTCCCACAGTGTTGGGATTATAGGTGTGAAGTACCGTGCCTGGCCAAATCCAGTTTTAAGAAGTGACTTTAGTTCCTGAAGATACATGCTAACTTTTGCAACTGTAGGCATGTGAGGGCTTAATGAGACTTTATGTTTAGTATTAAAAGACAGTGAGTGGCCAAACCTAGTGTCTTTAGAACTCATGAATGGCTTCAGCACTGTCTTCTGATTGTTTAGATGAAAACTTCTGGTGTGCAACTTCAGCTTGTAGCATCTGAAGAGAATCACAGTGCTCAGTACCATTTAGGAGAACAAGGCTTGCCCTTAGAATTTCATTTCCGGTGTAAAAATTTTAGATGAAATGATAACACTAAAATAAATTAAACCAGAGTCACAATTCTCATTTCCTGAAATTACATTTTCTTTTTTTTCTTTTAGGGGGATTTCATTCTGAAGATTGAGCCTCCCCTAGGGTGGAGTTTTGGTAAGTTAACTGAATCACTAGACATTCTTTGTAAAAGATTAGCTGATATGCCAAATGTTAATTTAGGCCAGCAGAGTGCATAAACTATTAAAATATTAAGGATCATTTCCAGTATGGAGGAGGGTTTGTATTCCTCCCCTCCCTGCCCCCATCACTCTGGTTGAGTTTGGATATACCTTAATCTACCTTAAGGCTTTCTGTCACCTTTGAAAAATAGACATCTTTTCTGGTACCTTTTTGGAAACTCTGCCCTTGCAGTTTCACTCATTATGTGGCCGTAGAACTGTACAGAAACCAAGAGTGGGGACTTGGTTCCTGTCCCAGGATGGCTTCTTTTTCAGCCCCCTCAGTTTTTTTATTTTTTATGAAATTAATTGAAACATTTAAACATGGTGAGATTTGTCATAAAAACCCAGATTTATGTCCCACGAGATGAGAAAACTGTCAGCCTTAAGCCTTACCAGTTAAATAACCTTGGATAAGTTACTTCCCCGCTGTCAGCCTTGCTCCTCACTGTCGAGCTAGGGGTCGTTATAGTCCCTTCCCCCCAGGGTACTTGGAAGATTAATAAACCAATACTGAGTGTTCAGAGTGGCTGGCATGTAATTAGCAAGCACTCAGTATTCAGAAACAGCCCTTCTGCACACATCCCAACAAAAGCTGCAAACTTTCTTCATATAACTGCCTTCAAGCATAGCTGGAGAGTTGGGGATGGGGTTGAGATCAGAAGAGTGCGTCTGTTTTGATGTAGTTTACAGTTTTGAAGGGGAGAGACTCTTGATGTTTCAGTAGAGCAGGTGTGAGTGACCCCAGTCCATGGCCTGGGGAGAGGAGTAGGGACCACCATTGTTGATATCAGGCTTGCTTGTGCCTTAGAGAAGGAAGAATTTAGCACCTGTGATCACCAAGGCTAAGATGAAGCTTAGGCAGCTTGACAGCTAATTTGGCTCTGTGGGAGCATCTCTTTATCAGTTTGTAGTCAGGGGTGGCAGGGAGGGGGGGTGCCTGGCTGGTACATTCCAGAAAGCTGGAGAGGAATGCAGCCCTGCTCATGGCCAAAGCAGAAGTCCAGATTGGTGGCCTGGAGGAGTGTTGTGTTTGCCACATCCCACCGCCCCCACCGCGACTGGTGCTGTTGATAAGCTTTTTAATTGAATTATACTTTCAGGAAAGTGCCCTGGATGAATTTTCACTAAGTGAACACACCCATGTATCCACCATCCAGATGATGAGATAGTACTTCACCAGCACCCCAGAAGTCCCCATCCTGGGTGCTCATTAGCCATCCCGCCCCACCCCCCCAGGTGACCACCACCCTGACCTTCTACAAATTAAAGATCCATTTGGTCTGTTTTGAACTTTATACAAATGCAATCATGCAGGGTACTTTTTAATATCTGGTTTCTTTCACTCAACATTGTGAGCGTTATCTGTATCATTTGTAGCTCTAGTTCGTTCTCTTTGCTGTTCAGAATTCTGATGCATAAATATAAAATGATTTATATTTTATAAAATATTTACATTTTATTTTATTTATTTTTTTCATTTTTTGAGACTGAGTCTTGCTCTGTTGCCCAGGCTGGAGTGTGATCTTGGTTCACTGCAACTTCTGCCTGGGTTCAAGCAATTCTTGTGCCTCAGCCTCCTGAGTAGATGGGATTACAGGTGTGGACCACCACACCCGGCTAATTTTTGTATTTTTAGTAGAGATAGGGTTTCACCATGTTGTCCCAGGCTGGTCTCGAACTCCTGACCTCAAGTGATCTGCCCGCTTTGGCCTCCCAAAGTGTTGGGATTACAGGCATGAGCCACCACGTCTGGCCTATATTTATATTTTATATTCATATTTTATATCAGTGATCTCTCCTATTGTTGATGGCCATTTGGGTTGCTTCCCAGTTTTGGCCACTGAAGAGTAGCACTCCTGTGAATATTCTTGTATGTATATTTTGATACACATGTGTCTGCATTTTTGCTGAGTATATCACAGGCGTAAAGTTGCTGAACCATAGAGTTGATACATGTTCAGCTTTAGGTGTTTCCAAACATCCAAAGTGGATGCGCCAGTTTGTGCTTTCCCAGCAGTGTACAAGGGTTTCCATTGCTCCACATCCTAGCCTACCCTTGGTATTGTCAGCTTTTATAATTTTAGCCCTTCTGGTGGGGGTGTGGTATTATCTCACTGTGGCCTTGATTTACATTCCTCTGATGGCCAATGAGGTTGTACACTTTTTCGTATGTTTATGTTTATTTGCCATGGGCTAGCTATTTTTGTAAGGTTCCTGTTCAAGTCTTTTGCCCATTTTTTATTGGAGTCTTTGCATGTGTGTGTGTGTGCACATGCGTGTGCAAGCATGTGTGTAATTCATCTTACCGGAAAATCTCATCTCATGGTTTTTCATTTTTTTCTCTACTCATTACTGCACATTCTTCCTAACCTTTCAAAAACTCAACCTTAACCCCTATTATGATGAACTCTTCAGTTAAAAAAAAAATGGAGTTAATTGCTGATATTGAAAAATCAAGAGATGGTATATAAAATCCAGATTTCCAGTTTTTCGGAGAAGTTGGAAGCTCTGGCAAAGCATGGCAGTGGTTGGCAGACTTGAGTGGCGGTTGTCCCCTTTCAATTTGCCATAGTCCCCCTGAGGATACTCCGCTCACTTTGAACCTGTGAGGCCCCTGTGGCCTTGGAGTTTGTGGTCCTGGTTTAACATGGCTGAGCTCATGCACTTGGTAAGGGAACAGATCCACAGCCAGACTTTTAGGGTTGAATTGGGGCTCTGTCACTCAGAAGCTCTGTGATCTTGGGAGCTCCTTTAACCTTCCTGTGCCTTAATTTACCCCTCAGTAAATTGCAGCTATTACTGCCTGCCTCTTAAGATAATTGTGAGGATTAAAGGCACTCAGCTCAGTGCCTGGTCGGTGATGAGTATTCAGTAAATACAGTTATTTGGTGCTCACTGAATTTTCACTGGAACTCTGAGATACAACTTGGCTGAAAGGCTGTCGTAAAATTGTTTTATACTCTAAACACGAGTTCCCTCTGGGGCAGGAAACCAGGAGGCTAGGGGGATAGGGGTGAGAGAGAGACTTTTCCCTGAATACCTTTTTGTACCTCTGGATTTGGAAACACACGAGCGTATTAAGTGTTCAAAAGTAAAATGAAAACTTAACAATAAAAATACGTTCTACTTAGGTTCACTGTACCCCACAACTAAGCTTGCCTCTGTGTCTTGTGCCCCTGTTTCCTCCCCCGCTTCATCCCTCAGAGCCGACGACCGTGGAGCTCCATGTGGATGGAGTCAGTGACATCTGCACAAAGGGCGGGGACATCAACTTTGTCTTCACTGGCTTCTCTGTGAACGGCAAGGTTTGTCTTTGGAACTTGATTATTTTTCCTGTTCACTCTATAATGTATACTAAATCCTTTAAAAGATACAGGATATTTTAACCCGGGGACTTTGATCCCACAGGGGACCCATGGAAAAGTGGCAAGAGAGCCTGTGAACTCTGTGCTTCAATCTGTGTAGAACGCAACAGGAGTGCTTAGGAGCGAGATTGAGGTTGCTGGTCATCCCCTCTGCTTCCAGAGCATAGGCTGTTGGTGTATTTGTTTATTTATTATTATTATTATTGTTATTATTATTATTATTATTTTTGAGACGGAGTCTCGCTCTGTCGCCCAGGCTGGAGTGCAGTGGCCAGATCTCAGCTCACTGCCAGCTCCGCCTCCCAGGTTCACGCCGTTCTCCTGCCTCAGCCTCCCAAGTACCTGGGGCTATAGGCGCCCGCCACCTCGCCCGGCTAGTTTTTTGTATTTTTTAGTAGAGACGGGGTTTCACCGTGTTAGCCAGGATAGTCTCGATCTCCTGACCCAGTGATACGCCCGTCTCGGCCTCCCAAAGTGCCGGGATTACAGGCTTGAGCTACCCCACCCGGCCAATTATTTTGAGACAGGGTGTAGATCTGTTGCCCAGGCTGGTGTGCAGTGGTGCAATCTTGACTCACTACAGCCTCCACCTCCCAGGGTCAAATAATTCTCCTGCCTCACCCTCCCGAGTAGCTAGGATTACAGGCATGCGCCACCATGCCCAGCTAATTTTTGTATTTTCAGTAGAGACTGGCTTTCGCTGTGTTGGCCAGGCTGGTCTCAAACTCCTGACCTCAGGTGATCCACCCGCCTCCACCTCCCGCAGTGCTGGGATTACAGGTGTATGCTGTGCACCCAGCCGCTGTTAGTGTTTATGCCAGGGATGGCCTTTTACAGGGATGCCGAGTTGGAAGGATGCACTCCTTAAGCCTTGTGGCATCTTGCTGTCCCTGTGGGTGAACTGAAGTCAGCTTCTTCCAGAGACAGCATGCATCTGCTTCTGCCACTCACCTGGGAGGATTCCCATCATTTAAATTCTGAGATATTTTTGGACCGCCGTGGTGGTATGAATTTAGAGTGCTAACGGGTGTGTCTCCCAGCTCCCGCGGTTCAGATTCTCGGGGGAGACTCGTTTTTCTTCCACCCGCCCTGTGCCTGAGGTTGAGATGTGCTTCCTTCCTTCCCGTCCTTTTCTTCATGATGGGCTTCTTTCTCCTCTGCCTTTGCGGCGAGGGGGAGGCCCTTCCATCCCAGCTGTATATGTGGGCTTCTTGTTGAGATGGGGATCTGGGTAGTTTTTTCTTTCTCAATGGTTTGCACAATAATGGTGAATCTTTTTTTTTTTTTTTTTGAGACAGAGTCTCACTCTGTGGCCTAAGCTGGAATGCAGTAGTAGTGCAGTCTCTCTCACCACAACCTCTACCTTCTGGGTTCGACCAGTTCTCCTGCCTCAGCCTTCCCAGTAGCTGGGATTATCGGCATGTGCCACCAGACTCAGCTAATTTTTATATTTTTATTTTTGTGTATATTTACTTATTTATTTATTTTTTAAGATGGAGTCTCCCTCTGTCACCCAGGCTGGAGTGCAGTGGTGCGATCTCAGCTCACTGCAACTTCTGCCTCCCGGGTTCAAGCAATCCTCCTGTCTCAGCCTCCAGAATAGCTGGGACTGCAGGCATGTGCCATGGCGCCCAGCTAATTTTTGTATTTTTTGTAGAGACGAGGTTTCACCATGTTGGCCAGGCTGGTCTCAAACTCCTGACCTCAAGTGATCTGCCTGCCTCAGCCTCCCAAAGTGCTGGGATTACGGGCATGTGCCACCACACCCGGCTAGACCAATAATGGTAAATCTATAACTGATGATGTCTTAGATTCATTGAAACAGAGAGTCTTATTTTACTGTCACTGTTCCCTCTCCTACTTCATCCCCAGGAAACATATCCATGATTTATATCGTCTTTTCAATGGGATTCTTGACCCAAAGGTTTCTGGCTCCACCTGGGAGTTGTAAGCAGGACTGCCAGTGCTTTGAGAGGAGGGTACTTTGCTTGGTGGGCCCTAACCTTCTTCTCCATGGCAGGTCCTCAGCAAAGGGCAGCCCCTGGGTCCTGCGGGAGTTCAGGTGTCTCTGAGAAACACTGGGACCGAAGCAAAGATCCAGTCCACAGTTACGCAGCCCGGCGGAAAGTGAGTAGCGTCCTGTCTCCCAGTCTTGCCTTAGAGCCAGGCTGTGACAGGGGTCATGGAGCTGGGTTTGGGAGTTTGGATTCAGGGAGTCCTGGTTTCATATTCTGATTCAGCCTCTTAATTTTGGGTGAGTTCATGCCCCTCAGAGTGCTGCATTCCCCAAGTGTGAAATGGAAGCTGTTTGACCCATCTTGCCTAGCATTGATGGTATGGATGATTAAATATGAGTTAATACTGACCAGGCACATTGGCTTGCACCTGTAATCCCAGCACTTTGGGAGGCCAGGGTGGGAGGATCACTTGAGTTCAGGAGTTTGAGACCAGCCTGGACAACATAAGGAGACTCAATCTCTACAAACAATTTAAAAAATTATATCAAGCAGAGTCCCATGGGGGAAAAAAATTAGTTGGATGTGGTGGCATGCTCCTGTGGTCCCAGCTACTCAGGAGGCTGAGGCAGGAGGATTGCTTGAGCCTGGAAGATTGAGGCTACAGTGAGTCGTGATCACGTGCCACTGTGCTCCAGCCTCGTCAACAGAGCAAGAGCCTGTCTCAAACAAACAAAAAAAGAGTTAATACCCATAAAGCACCTGCTTCAAGGCCTGGGGCTTTGTGGGTCTTCATTTAGCAGCTCAGCCTGGCTCTGGAGCCTGCTAGCCTGGGCTTAAATCCCAGCGCCCCCATTTGCTGGCTGGTTGACCTGGGGCAAGATGCTTAACCCTTCTGTGCCTCAGTTTCCTCTTTTGTAAATGAAGATAATTGTGGAACCTACCTCCTAAGGTTACTGGAAAGATGAAATTAATATTATTACTTCAAGCTGCCTGGCATATTAGATCAAATAGGTTAGCTTAGTTATGATTAGAAAAATCATTATCATTATTATATCAAAACTGTTTTGTAGTCGGAACTGATGCTTAACGGATCTTGCTGAATCAGATTTAAAGCATTTATTTAATGGATGTATATAGTTGAGTTGTAAATGTTAACAGACATGCCAAGATTAATGCCAGAATAGTTCATACTGATAATTCCGAAAGCGTTCAAATCTTTACTAACTCCGTTAATATACAAACTGACTAAATGGCAAAATAGAATTTTATAATGAGTCTGTCAATAAGTTATTCAATTTTAAGGTTACTATTGTTGAAACTACTTTTCATTTTGAAATAACATTTACTTCTGCTTGACTGGTGCCTCTCCAGCTCTGGTGTGTAGCAGGAATATGGAGCTGTATTTTTTTTTTTTCTGGGCTAGTAGTTTGGTGTTGACCTTACTAGAAAAAAATAGTGTCTTGAGCCTTCTGAATACCTTTCAACTGCACTGACTGAAACAGTGAAACTTGTAGCACTGGGCTGTTATGAAAATGAAATAGAAACTCAGTCTTAGCAGTACTTGATAGTAACATGATTTCCAAGCCCTATCCAGTTATTACAGGCAAGATTTGATACAATAAAATACCACAGAAGAAGAAATCAAATGCGTTTTCTAGTTCATTTCACTGGAATTAGCCTTCTAATTTGTCAGTTGCCTTACAAATTTGAAGGGATAAACATGTTAGCATACTGGCAGCAGCATTTCCAGCCTTAGCTCTGCTCACTCTGGTGTTAGTCTGCCTATGGCTAGGAGAGTATTTTCATCAGCTGCTGGTTTCTTATCTCAGTTGCTTTGTGCAGAAACCCAGAATGGCTTATCTGTGTTTCTCTAAAGGCTTTTTTGTGGGATTCAAAGCTTGTCATGGTTTACCCCACCCTGTGTCATTGGCATCATCTTGTGTCAGCGTCCCCCTCAGCCTGTGCATCTGTTCTGTTCTTTTCATCCCACTTCTCCCTTCCCACATGTTCCCTTGGACACTTCTGTCCCCTTCTCCTTGTCAGTTCACGCCTGTCACCTCTGTCAAACCCAGTCGAATGTTCTGTGACTGATCGCTGCTGTGCTACAAGGACTGGTTTTATGCCAGAAATCCTTGAGATTAAGGGAGATGGAAGCCCTCTCCTTCCTGTCAGCACGTGGAGCACCCCTCTTGGCACACAGTAAATGCTCAATAAGTGCTCTTTGATGCAGATTTGCACAGTGAAGAATTGAATTTCATTCATGCTCATTTAACAAGCTAATGGCAAGCTTGCAATAATTCTAACATTATTTTCTTGTCATAAAATTACATTAGTCATAAAATTAGAAATACTTGGGTTGTTTGGAGAAAGCTAAATGGTTATTTTGTATTTCTTAGGTTTGCATTTTTTAAAGTTCTGCCTGGAGATTATGAAATCCTCGCGACTCATCCAACCTGGGCGTTGAAAGAGGTGAGTGTGACGGCTACGTCTGTAGCCATGCCAATAATATGCTGGTCTTGGGACAAATGTAGGACTTTTCAATTTAGGATATGAAAAGAATTTATGGTTTTTCCAGGACTAGATGAAGAACCAGTGGTGCCGTTGATTAGTTTGGTGGTTATTTATAAGGTGCAACTCCTCACTGTAGCAGATGTTGCTTGTGTTGGTTTCAGTTTTAGGTGACAGTGTTGTCTTCCTGCTGTGAAATAGATCTGTTTTATTAACTATAGCTATTTTAAACTAAATCAACAACAGAAGGCCCTGATGAGATTTATTTGTTGTTCTTTTTTCAGCCTGAAACAGAAATCTGTAAATATACTAAACATTCTAGAAACTGTGGTACGTGTGCCCAAGGAGAATGTATAAGAATGTTTATTGCAGCTTTGTTTGTAATAGCAAAATATTGTAAACAACCTAAATGCCTTTTAAGAGAAGAATGGATTGGGGTTCCATCATACAGTAGGCTGCTGTACGTCAGCAGTAATGAATGAACCAGAGCTACATATATCAGTGTAACTACATTTAAAAACAGAGTTGAAGGAAATATGATTTTAAATACTTGTGATAACATCATTTATGGATATAGTTTTTTTTTTTTTTTCTTTTTTTAAGACGGAGTCTCACTCTGTTGCCCAGCGTGGAGTTCAGTGGTGTGATCTTGGCTCATTGCAGCCTCAGCCTCCTGTGTCCAAGCGAGTCTCCTGCTTCAGTCTCCTGAGCAGCTGAATTACAGAGATGCACCACCACGCCCAGCTAATTTTTGTATTTTTAGTATAGGTGGGATTTTGCCATGTTGGCCAGGCTGGTCTCAAACTCCTGGCCTCAAATGATCCACCAGCCTTGGGCTCTCAAAATGGCGGGATTACAGGCGTAAACCAGTGCATTTGGCCAGATACAGTCTTTTTTTTTTTTTTTTTCCAACAGGATCTTGCTCTGTTGCCCAGTCTAGAGTACAGTGACATATTTGTGGCTCATTGCAGCCTCTGGTTCTTGGCCTTCAGCGATCCTTCCACCCTGGCCTCCCAAGGGTCTGGAACTGCAGGCGTGTGCCGCTTTACCTAGCTAAGGATGCAGTTTTTTTTTTTTTTTTTTTTGAGATGGAGTCTTGTTCTTCTTGTTGCCCAGGCCGGAGTGCAGTGGTGCGATCTCGGCTCATTGCAACCTCTGCCTCCCAGGTTCAAGCGATTCTCCTGCCTCAGCCTTCTGAGTAGCTGGGATTACAGGTGCCTGCCACCATGTCCAGTTAATTTTTTGTTTTTAGTAGGAACAGGGAGGATACAGTCTTATGTTGAAAAATTATGAAGACATACATGGGAATAGCAGACACTGTTCAAAATGATACTGACTTCTAGAGAAAAAGGAGGAGGGGGACTTGGGGGTATGCCATCATCTTGAATTTGTTTTTATTTAACTTCTTTAGTTGGTTAGAAGGTACATAAATGTTCTTTAGCATATCTTGCTTTATTTGACTGAAATAGTTTATAGTCCATGATCAAAGGAACTCCACCTACTAGGTGAGGTTCTGTAATAGCTGTGAAAGACCAAATTAAAATAAGATTAAGGGACATCTTGACGTGTTAGCTTCTGTGTTAGTATAGAAGCTGTATCTCATTTTTGCTAAGAAGCATTGGAATCAGTATTTCAGCTTCTACCCTATAGGTTTTATTATTTTTTTACTCTGTAGGTTTTATGCATTTATAATTGATGATGTTTCACACCTGGATGTCTCTTCTTACTGTTTATGACTTTTGGTTCTGGGGGTTTTTCTCTTCTGCAGCAACATTTAAAAATATTTTATTCAAGGCTGGGCGCAGTTACTCATGCCTGTAATTCCAGCACTTTGGGAGGCTGGGTGGGCGGATCACTTGAGGTCAGGAGCTCGAGACCAGCCTGGCCAACGTAGTGAAACCGCATCTCTACTAAAAATACAAAAAAATTAGCCAGGAATGGTGGCATGCGCCTGTAATCCCAGCTACTCGGGTGGCTGAGGCAGGACAATTGCTTGAACCTGGGAGGTGGAGGTAGCAGTGAGCCAAGATTGCACCACTGCACTTCAGCCTAGGTGACAGAGTGAGACTCCGTCTCAAAAAAAAAAAAAAAAAATTTGAAATGAAAGGGCTTATACATTTATAAATAGAAGAGATTTTAAGGTTTACATTGTATGTTAATTGTCTGCATAGAAGAATCTGAGTTTATTATTATGAGATTGGGATTTTAAAGTAAAGCATGTTGTTAGAAGTTGGGATAATGTTTATCCTCCTCCGAGGGTTAGTGACCGGAAGCAAGTGTGAGGGGCACTTCTGGCTTGCTGGTGCTATTTATTCTGCCGGGTAACGAGTGCCCAGCTTGTGACAAGCCCTGTGCTGTGTGCTTAGAGTATGCGCGCTTGTCTTTGTGTAAATTGTACCTTAACAAAAATGTTTAAAAATATACACATATTGTGAAAAGAACAACTTAGGACAAATTAAACAGAGTTTAATTGGGCACAGAACAGTTTGTCAATTGGGCAGCCTCCTGAGCCAGAATAGGTTTACAGCGACTGTGGCACTGTTGTGTGATTGCAAAGGGATTATGGACAGAAAAAGAAAGTGATGGACAGAAAGCGGAAGTGAGGGACAGAAACGGTTGGATTGGTTACAGCTGGACGTTTGTTTTATTTGCACATGGTTTGAACAGTTGGCCGCCTGTGAGTAGTTGAAGGATGGCTGCTGCAATTGGCTGAGACTTGGCACTATGTACGGAGAAACCTTTAGGCCAAACTTAAAGTATGTAAGGAGGCAGCTTTAGGCTGATCTTCAGTTAACACTGTATATCATTAAACATCGTAAAAAAGCAAAATACGCTCATTAAAAAAAATTGGAACATATAGAGGAATATAAAGCAGTGGAAACAAAGTTAGAAATGTTGGAAGGTGGAAAAGTATACAAGTAAAATACCACCGTATAGATAAAATCATTATCATTTACATTTTGCCACATTTCCTTTCACTTCATTTTGGGCATTGAAAAATAGTAATGGGCCAGGCGTGGAGGCTCACGCCTATAATCCCAGCACTTTGGGAGACTGAGGCGGGTGGATCACCTGAGGTCAGGAGTTCAAGAACAGCCTGGCCAACACGGTGAAACCCCGTCTCTACTAAAAATACAAAAATTAGCCAGGCATGGTGGCGGGCGCTGGTAATCCCCGCTATTTGGGAGGCTGAGGCTGGAGAATCGCTTGAACCCAGGAGGCAGAGGTTGCAGCTGTCTCTTATACACATCTAGATGTGTATAAGAGACAGATGTGTCTCTGTTGACTCACAAGACATTGCACATCTACACTGAGAGGCAGTGGTATGTGATGGAAGGTACACAGGCTTTGAAATCAGACCTGGGTTTAAACAAATCTCAGGTTTAAACAAATGCCTCTTCCTAGCTGTGCGACCCGGGGCCAGTCACATTACCTTCCTGAGCCTCCGTTTCCTTATTTGGAGAATGGTGACCCATTATAAGGAAGGACAGTCATGTCATTTTTCCTGAGAAGACAGTGGCAGTTTTTAACTTTACAACTTGAATGTCAAGATTTTTGTTCCTTTTATCTGTATTAATGTGTCTTAGATTTCAGAAATACATATATTGACGTGAAACTTACAGAAATTTTCCTATGATGTGGCTAATTGACGATGTTCAGAACATGTAAATGGAAAAGGAAGTCTTGTCTTTTTTTTCCCCCGGCATAGGATGTCCTGGGCTGCAATGTCTCACCAGTGTCTGGGTTCCAGCACCAAGACGAGAGTCTCGTGTATTTGTGCTACACGGTCTCCAGAGAAGATGGCTCGTTCTCCTTCTACTCCTTGCCAAGTGGGGGCTACACGGTGGTGAGTGAAGCAGATTTCCGTTCTGTCTATGTCTGGGACTCTCATGACACAGTAAAAGCCAATGCTGTTTGGGTGTTAAAGGAAAAGATGGTTGGCCTGCAGTTCTCTGTAAACGCTGTTAAGAAGTAACTTAAGATGAGACACTCACCCCTTAGTAATAGCTACCAAAAGGGCAAGGCTTCCTCTTTTCAAATCTGCAATAGTTATGATGAGCATTTCTCTTGGCTTGTCTTGAACCCCTTGTCATTTGTGGGCTGCTAGATCGAGTATTAATATTGCTGATTGATCATGTTTGTGGTTCTTAGTGATTAACAGACTCTTCCTTCCAGATTCCGTTCTATCGAGGGGAGAGGATTACCTTTGATGTGGCGCCTTCCAGACTTGACTTCACAGTGGAGCACGACAGCCTGAAAATCGAGGTAAGGCTTTCCTGTCTTCTGGAGGGACAGGTGTTTGAGTTCCCATCCCTAGGCACAGGTGTTGCAAACATGTTTAAAAAAAATCGATTATTTTTTCTGGAAGGGCTGTTGGAAAAAGTGCAATCTGGTATTATGTTCTTGCACATGATGTCCTTATTGTAGAGAACTGGATTCCTAGTTAAATCTCCCCATTCAGTGAAATATATTTATTGAGTGCCAGTGACATATATTTCAGGCACCATTCCAGGACTAGGGATACAGCTGTGACCAAAAGAGGCAAAAATTCTTGTCCCTGTGGACCTCATTTTTTTTTTTTTTTTTTTTTTTTT